AATCCGCCGTTGCGCGAGTGCCCAGAGTCGGGCAAGTTCAAGTGGAAAATCCCCCCACCACTCCATCTTCCATATCCCTCTTCCATTAGTCCCTCGCTTTCTGCGGACGCCCCTCGCACACACACATCTGTGGCTCTATCTAACGCCTCACTGCCCCAGAATAAAAATGACAACAAATTTCCAGTGGAACACAACAGAAGAGATGACTGGGGTGCGGAAATATAAAAGCCCATTATCGACCGCGTTCATTACACTTTTCACTCATGTTTCAGATCAAAAAATGGACTTTTACACTCCACTGCTCAAACCCAAACTCTGAAACGGCCAGCAAGGCCCTGGGTGTTTCTCTTCTTGCTCTCTCCCTCTCTTGCTGTCTTCAATCTGTCAGGCCTCTTGCATTCTGGGTCACCCTCTCTTACCCTCTCTCTTTTCAAAACAACCTCTTTGAAAAGGAAAAAAAAAGTGCCAAATAAGCATTTCCACTTAATGGACAAAACAGAGAGTTTTCAAAAATAAAAGTTCACAAAAAGGGCTCCGTCCAGAATGGAGAGTCTTTTTGTCCCCCATTGATCTGAGGTGTCTATATATGTGTCCGTTTCCAAAAAAGCCCCAAAGAATTCTTATCAAAACCTGCTGTAAAGTGGCTATTTGCATGATAAGCGCTGCTTTGTTTTACCACGATAAAGAACAAACACAAGAGGTAAATTTTCATTAGGGTCGAAGGACTTTCAAAGTTCATTCTGTAAAATTGATCCCAAAGTGCTTGACCACACAGAGGTGGAGGTTCCAGCTGGCGTCACTCATCTCGCCATCGGATCATCTCAATGTGGTACTCCCTTCACCCAGTGCTACCGTGGCAACGCAGCCTCTCTATCAACGCTCAAGAGAAGGAAACTAATTAGCATGTCTCTAATGAGTCTTTTCTTCTTTTTTTTTAATTAAACGAGGTCCTCAATAATACATGAAAAGAGGACACTTTTTCTTTTCAATTACCAACAAAGATGGGACTGAAGCCACGTGTGTGTATGTAAAATGGTTCTTTATAACCATGATAAATTCTATGCCCTTTCCATCACCTTATACACAAAGATAAAAATAGTCTTATGGTGTGACAGAGATTTTAAAACGTGTGGATTTTATTATGATACTAATTATAAAACATCAAATAAAATGAATGGAAAAGTAAACAATTAAATAAACAAAATCAATTCCATACCAAACAACCATTTGGCTTGTTTTTTTAATTTAAGCAGTTTACAAAATATATGAAAAAATATCAGTTTATAAAGTTTGATAAGAAATGTTTCTAAAGCACCAAGTCAACATTTTAGAATGTTTTCTGAAGGATCATGTGACACTGTGCAGACTGGAGTAATGATGCTGAAAATAGAAAAAAAAAAATTAAATTGTAATATTTCACATCATTACTGTTTTTACTGTATTTTTAATCAAATAAATGCAGCCTTGGTGAACATAAAAGACTTTCAAACCTTCAAAAACATTAAACATATTAACGACCCAAAACTTTTGAACGGTAGTGTACATACAAAATAATTTTAAAACAAATTGAAACTAACAAACCTAATGAAGTGGAATGCAATCCTTGCCTTGGCAAGTTTGAATGACTCTCTTGCACAGACTGAGCCAGATTCGAATTCAAGGTTCTGAAAGATTCAGACAAAAACCTTAGTAGTGTAACTTCTGGTTTCATTGGCACGGCAGTAAAGAAGAGGAAAACTCAGCCACCAAAAGATTTCATTGTTTGTCACACCGCATTCAAATCTTCATAGGGAGCTTAACCTGACCAGCAGCCATTTTCTGTCGGGTTAAATCCATTGATTAGATTAAATGACTTCCTTGCCCTACTCTCCTTGCCATCTGAAAACAGCTTCAAATACCCTGAACCTGAGGACTTTTAGAAATAAACAAATAATAATAATTTGAATTAAGACTCAGAGTAAAAAGAGAGTTGAAATAACAGTAAGAGTCTCTTGACGGCTAGGTGTCGAGCAGCTGAAGGCCTTTTCGTAATGACATAAGTGGTATGACGCATCACTACAAAAAAAAAAAAGGCTAATCCTCCAGCATGACTTGTAAATCTACATACCTGACATTTTTCTTGTTTTTAGAGTCAAAAGTAACGGAAACCCTCCTCAGCGACATAAACAAGGGGCGGTTTACAGTCCCTAAGTCCCTTTAGAAAAACTAGGAACCGGGAAGGGTCGGGGTTGAGGGTTGATGCCCCGGGGCAGTATACGAGGAAGTGACACAACAAAGCAGAATCTCAGGGACCTCTCCTTTATCAGTATGCAGGGTGGCCTTGTGCTGAGGTGGGATAGACTTCACCCCAGAAGCCCAAACAAGTGGGCTACTAAGGGTCATGGGTCGACAGAGGTCAGTGGATCTGACCATAGAGTTGATCCGAAAACATCAAATGTGTATGTGCACGCTTCTTTATAACATCCAGCCTGAGAATGTAGTATGCTATAACCTCTGTAAGTCCCTTTGTAGAGAAAACGAGATTAGCTCTTTTGTAAAACTTCTCAAAAGATGCTCAGGACTTCTGGTTGGCTGCTTTTCAGCAGTCAAAAGAGCCCACCTCCAAGTCAAGGATATTCTGATCCCTATATACGCCCTTTTAAGTGTAAATCTGGTATTGTTTTCCCCTTTACACCCAAAAAGTTAAATGAAAGTAATATCACAATTCTGCTAAACAAGCTGCATAATTTGAAATGCCATTCATGTCACTCTGTAGCACAAATGAAGAAGGACAATGTGAACACTAAAGTGTATTACTTAAAGGGAAAGTTACTCCAAAAATAAACATGTATGACTTGCTTTCTTCTGTGGAACACAAAAGAAGATATTTTGAAGAAAGTCTAGTGACTTTCAATGTATTAACAAAACAAAACAAAACAAAACACACTTGGACATTTTTGTGTTCCATAGAAGAAAGTAAATGTATTTTTTTGTGTGAACTATCCCTTTAAAGTAAAATAAGTATAATCAAAAATAAAAGTGATGCTCACATTAGCAAACACCACAGTTGAAACATCTGTTCAATAAGCCACATACATTATCGAAAGGTGCATAAACAAAAAAAGCAACTTGTGAAAAAAGGTGTTCTGATAAAATGTTCCTTTCATTTTCCTCTTCTTGACTTTTCTTTAGCTCAACGAGCACGGTGAAGCAAACTTCAGCCCAGGGTTCAATCTAATTAGTGTGGTTTGTTAATTAAATGAGTGCGCCACTAACGAGGTAACCTGCTGTTCCTTGATAATGTTAATTACCCTGAAGGGAAAACCTCTCAACACGGTCATTTAAACTGTCAGCTAGCATTCCTCCTGGATTATTGATGATTTGTAAAACACTGGGCGGCTCTCTCGCTCCCCTTTGCTCACTCGTTTACTTGCGCTCTCTACTTTCCACCCAATATGCTCGTATTGACTATACGCCCCTCGCTTCCTGCTTGTGATTAGCAGTGGCCTTGTTCATCTTCTTCTTCTCCTCCATCTCCATCAGATTCAGGCTAAATAAAAAGTGCACCCTAATCTGTACCTACATGCCAGTCTGTGTTAGTCTCACAACTGTGTTAACGCAGGAAGAAGCATGTTTTCATGACTGTGATATCAAAGCTTTACTCTGGTATACACACGCGAGTGCGTCTTGTCACATTTGACGGGTGGGCTAAAGCAGGCAGTTATCACCACTGCCCCAATTCAACATGGCAGGCATGAAGACAGTTTCCCAACAGTAAGAAACAATATTAACACACATGCAAAATGCACAGTGTATTGTTAAACAAGAACTGATGATTACTTTGTAAAGATAGCCTGACTATAATTAATTTATTACCATTTATATGCTGCACATGACATGCGGACAAAAATATATATATATCGTGGTCACAAATTAAGAATGCGTTCCCGTTTTAGTAAATTGTGGCCATGATATAATAATTTGTTCCACGATTTAGCAAATCATAGCCACATTGTACTCATTTGCTCCCTTGTTTTTATTTAACTACAACAAGGAAACAAATTATTATATTGTGCGCACGATTTACTTAAACGAATTAGTAAAACGCGCTGATGTATTAAGTTGTGGGAATGATTTGTTAATTCATGGCCACTATATACATATTTTTTGGTTTTGTCTTTGGTAAAGCAATAATGCAAAAATTTTAACAAAACTTTGGTCTTGGTACTGATAGATCTAAGCTCTCCACACTACTCTATTCCCAAGATTCCTGCTCTAGACCCTGAGTGTGTGTGTGTGTGTGTGTGTGTGTCCAGGTGCTACAGGAACGTGCACTCAAGCTAGAAATGAAGCTTGGTTTTTAAGTAGTGCCATTGTTCAGCTCTTCACTACAAAGAACCACATTCACAACTCTGCTCTTATAATAATATAGAACAGACGGGGGATGGGAGACGATCAGAATCAGATAGTCAAGAACTTTATTAGACGAATATCTGAGAAAGTACGACATGACAAATAGGGCTGGGTGATTCAGCTGGAAAAAAAACTGTTCTTGATATTCAATTTCACTAAATTAAAAATATTTACATTTTTCATTTATATGCATCTTTGCAAACAAATCACTGAATCGGAGTTCAGCGTTTTAAATGATTCAAGAAAATGAATCAAGCTTACCAACTTTTTAAAAAGTTATATCATAAACGTTTTTAAAACTTTTTTAACAAGGAGGGATTGTGGAGCTAGTATAATAAAGCTGCCTTTAGGAAACTAAATGGCCTAATAAGAAGTGCATTAAATTCATCATAATTTGCATGATGTTGCTTGATTTGATAACACAACCAAAATCATCATACATACATTGAATATTTGATATACCACCCAACCTTAATGATAAAACAAAACAAGCATGAAGGGAAAGGACAAAAATGTGATTTAGATGTGCATCCGCTCGCATCTGATGGTTATAAGAAGTGTTTGTATGCTTGTATATTCTAGCTTGTGTTTGTGTGTGGCACTCGTACCTGCACAGGGCTCTGTTTGAGCTCGTTGCTGCTGGGGGAGTTGAGTCCTGTGGCCTGCTGGAGGATGAACTGGCGTGCTGCCTGGAGGGCCTGTGGACACGAGACACAGAGACAACACAGCGGTGAGCACCACACATACACACACCTTTGCACTCTGCTTACATTTCCTCAAAATCACAGGAGGGATACACTTAGCACTGCATGGTGGGCCCCACCTGTTTGCCAACCTGAGTGAGCGGGGCCCCTCCCTTACAGGGCCAGAAATGGGCCTTGCTTTCTCTTCAGACTGAGAGGGAGAAAATGCAACTCTGTAACTCTACCGCACCCTTTTTTTCCTTTCTCTCACACTTCCTTAGATAATCTGTCCATTGTGCCGCCACTCCGAGATCCGTCCTACATCATGTGGCAACGCTTCGCTACCCTACGAACAGATGACGGCAGTATTCGTTTGGATTTTTTAAACTGTACCCGCACAGGATCTTTGGTCCAATGGCAAAATGCGGCTCTCAAAACAAAAACACTAGGCAACAGTAAATCAGTGGGCAAACAGCTTTTTGAAGAGCGCCATCAGGATGCACATTTGCTTCCTGGCCCTGAAGAGAGAGAGGAAGGTTACATAGTAAATATTGATTTATGAAAGGGGTGTGTGTGTGTGTGTGTGTGTGGGGTTGATGTGGCTGAAAAGCCCTCTTTAAAAAAGAAAAAGAAAAAAAGACCTGACACCAAACATAAATCCTCAGTCATACTTCGATATGCTAACCGAAAAAAAGTTTTAGACATTTTAAGCCAGCTTTAATAGTTCATCTAGCTGTAAACTCACTTTGAAGGCAAATCTATATGGTTTAACATTCACTGTCATTAGAAGGATAATTCATCCAAAAATTACAATTGCCATCATTTATTCACTCTCATGTCATAAACATAGCATAAATGTGGTCCATACAACTCAAAATATATAAAGTATTCTTAAGTCATACAACAGCTTTGTGTGATCAAATATAAATGTGAGTACTCTTTGGTTAGTAGTGAAAAGTAATAGCAACTGAAAATTCAGCAGTATTAAATTACATTAAAGTATTGTAAATACATTGTAAAAATCTTAAGAAAAAAGTAATAATACAATGCATGGGTCATACGGACAAATTTTTTGTGCTTTTTTTGAGCATGACAACGCCTGGCAACTTTCTGCTATTGTTGTAGTGGAAAAAGCGGCATATATATTCAGAAGTAAGTTTGACATAAGACACTAAGGCAAATGAGTAAACAATGACAGAATATTCATTTGAACTACCCCTTTAAAACATGGCCATTTAGCACTGATCTGATATCAGTAATAGACTGATAGTGCTAATAGCCATTATATCAATTGCAGAAGTACTTACTGGCTAAATGTGTGGGAGGGTGCATTTCAAAGCCCAGTCCAGGACCCTCTAAATAAATGGTGCCAATCCATTTAAGAGAGATACACCTCTGTCTTTTTTATTGTAGAGGGGGTGGTGGGGGTTTTAGAGAGAGAGAGAGAGGGGGCCAAAAAAGGCGAGAGGCCCCCTATATACAATCGGCACATGAGAGAGAGAGAACATGCAGTGGTCGGTGTGATGAAAACCATCTGCATCAAGAGCACTTGCTACTTTTGCTGAGGTCGTAATCGAGCGGCGTGCGCACACACATTCGCGCATGCACACACATGCTGTGCAGGAACCCCCCCCCCTCCATCTGTACACATGACCTCAGCGGAGGGCTGGATAAGCTAAAGTGACCGGCAGCACCTCCCAGCTACGACCAGCTCTGAGACTACAAACTGATGGCATGTGGTGTGAATTACTTCTTACAGACGTGTGCGCGCACACACACAACCAGAAACAACTTGGACCAGATGGTTGTCTGGCAACAATGATAAACAATTGGACAAAACTGTCGCACTGATTACCACTTTATTAAAGTCTTCTTTGATTTTCATAAACGCCATGATTATTTGGATTAAATGGTAGCAGTTTAGTGCACACATTTAATCCTAGGTAATTTACAGTGTACTAATTTAATGCACAGCCCCTTCAGGAACAACCAGAGGTTAAGTGCCTTGCTCAGGGGTGCAATGGTGATAGATTGTGATATCAGTAATTTTGCAGTGACTGGGTCTCCCCAAATAGGACCACCCCTAAATTTGCGTTGCCAGTCTAAAGCCTTAACTATTAGGCTAAAACCATCTTAGATCCATCTCATACCTTCTTTCTTGGACCATTTCCTTATATTACAGGAATAGTTTACCCAAAAAGAAACATTTTATTATCATTTACTCACCCACATGCAATTTCAACCCTGTATTTTTTTCTCTCTTGAAAGACACAACTAAAGGCTAAGCAGAATGTCAGAGCAGCTCTTTTCCATACTATTAAAAACTCCAAAAAAGCACCATAAAGGTGTCATAAAAGTGGTCCATTTTACTTTTTTCTTTGTTCTACGCAACAAAAGATGAGACAACAGAAGGGCAGAATGTCCAAGTAGATATTTTCCATAAAAACAACACAAGAAGCTCTAAAAAGGACAAAAAATAAAATCATACAAACTATTTATACATAACAAAATAAACAAAAAAAAGCATAGAAGCAACATAAAAGCTGTCCAATACAATGGTAATTTATCAAATGGCTTTAGAAGGCTTAAAATATAGCACACAAAGTGTATGCACTGCTTTTATTTTTTGCCATTTTAAAATCACTTTTAGAAACTTTTATGATGGACATTTAACCTAATATCTAAATTTGTGCTGCACTGAAAAAAAGAAAATAATTTGAGCGTGGAAAGATATTTTCTTAGCTACAGCGAGTCATAATATGTGAGAAACAGACAGGGATTTGAAAAATTAGAAGCAGATGTAGTACACAAGCTGTATGGATGGACCATTTTACAATTTTCTTTTAACATTAAACCTAAAAAATAGTTTTTACTTTTTTGGTGCTTGTTTTCGTTGTGTGGAAACGAACTGCTCAGAAATTCTTCCAAACATCTTGTTTTGTGCTGCACTGAAAAAAAAAAAAAAAATTGAAAAAGAGTTTGGAATGGCATGGGGGGTGGGGGGAGAGAAATTTTGGGGTGAACCTCTCCTTTAAGGAGAAAGGCACAGCACCTAGTGAAGAACAAGTGGTCAGCATGGCTGGTCTTAATCACGATGCACTCAGATCAACAGTGGGACCGGAGGCTGGTGACACTAAACTGGCCCAGAATTAGAGTAACTGGGGCAGTGAGTCTCTCTGAGCAACAGGGGAGAGGCTCCGTTCTGTGGCTGGAGAATCTATTGAGTCTGACTTGCCAATTTTATTGCTTTCACGAACAGTGGAGGTTAAAAAAAGATTTGGAGTACAAACAGAGTGGAAAAAATGCTTTATAACTTCCATCCATACATCTAAGCAGGGAGTGAAAAACACATCCAGATTTCAAAAGGGAACATGAGTTGCTTCTTTCTTCTCGCTCACCTACTTTCATCTTATCTCTCTCTCCCATCCACCCCAAAGCCTCGTGGCATTCGCTGGTGAGCGCTGCACCTTTAAAGAAAATATGAGGGAGGCCGCGGCTGGTCGGGTCCAACAACAGTTCCATTGTGCTGTTGAGTTAGACAGGTTTTATTGCAGTGCAGGGCGGGCGGTAGGACGAGCCAGAGCGAGAGTGAGAGCGAGTGAGAGAGGGGAAGGGGAGGGTGAAGAGGTCAGAGCCCAGCTTGGCGGCCTTAGCAGCACAGTGTGTGAGTTCTTCTGACTTGTCATCGGCCCCCCCCGTAAATCAACACTCCTGACATTGCCTTTAATAACAGAGCATTTTTTAATTCAGCAGGGTCGTTGTGGGGGGGGGGGGGGGGGGTTGCTGGAGGGTGTAGGGTGGTCAGAGGGGTGGGTGTAGGGAGATTTAGCAGGGGGCTCCCTCTTCTTCCCTTTTTTCCCCTGTCTTTCTTTTCCTTTTTTCTTTTGGCTCTCGCCCTCCCCTCTTTAACAGGCTTCAAAAAAATGGCTGACAACTGGGTTTCTTTTCTTTTTGCAGGAGAGGGGGAAGGAGGGGGGCTTTCGGGTGAGGGTCCATTATGGGAAAATAACAGGGACGAATTCGTTTTGGCATACGCACGTAGTACGACTCGCTCTCGTTCTAGCAAAGTTGTGACAGTCGCGTCCGTGCGCACAGACGTGCCAGCGTCCAATAATAATACGGCAGATTAAATTTTTGAGCCGTTCTACGGCGGACGTTCCAAAACAACGCAGTAAAACACACAAACAGGGGTGATTGCGCGCCTCTTTCCTGGATGTCCCAGCTTCTATTCATTACGCTCAGGTTGCTTAAGTAAACACGACTGGGAGGTGATGAATCAGAACCCTAATCCGCCTGTGTTTGTGGGAGTGAGAATGAGGGAGAGGGCAGAACACGGGGCGCTCACTCGCTTTTTCTCTCTCTCCAGTAAATCTAAACAGTGAAGTCGGCTCCTCTGCGGACAGGTGGGCACCATATGCTGGAATGATCCATCATCACTGACAGAGAACCATTGTTGATGCCTGCAACGTCCCCCCACAACCGCCCCCGTAGAAAAACAGAGCCCACGGTGGGCCGTCCATGGGTGTGGGTGGGTGGATGGCGGCGAAGTGGTAGGGGGGCCAGGGTGGCACGAAGGGTCAGAGGGAATCATGTTACTGGAGTTGGCGGATCCAGAGCTGAAGACAGACTGAGACTGAGACTGAGACTGCCACTGTATGCTCGGAGAAGCTCAGGAGACATTGATGGAGATGAGGGTAGAAAGAGGCAGGAATAAGAAACAAAGACTAATCCTTCATATAAGAGTAACGTAGAGATATAAAAAAAGAAATGATGACAAAAGAGAAGAGAAAAGTTCAAATGACATTAGAATAAGAAAAACAAATGAAAAAAACAACAAATGAATGTGGACAGTCAGTTACTGTAGACAGTCTTAGATATGGTTTAGATCTCTTCTGAAACTTAACACACATACTGAGGCTTTAACTTATTTTTTTCTGAGAATTTTTTTTTTTTATTATTTGTTTTCCATTTAATCTTATTGCATTCTAGGAGAAACATTTGAGATATTAAAGAGA